AAATGCCGTCAATTCTTCAGGTCTCCAATATCCTCCACTACAGCTGCTCTTCAGTAGCTGTAGTGTTCGTTTCGGTTGTTACTATCCTCAACGCTGCTCGTACCACTGGAAAAACAACTACCCCGCGGAATTATGACCGTATTGCTATTGCGCTTTTGATCTTGGGGTATTTGGCTGAGGGTATAGCGACGTTTGTGCAGGAGAGTCAGCAGAGTAAAGAGCCTGAGACGATACATCTTGTTGTTCTTGGTTCTTTATGGGCGTTTATCTGGAGTCAGCGAGCTGCACCGCGGTTATTGGTCCTCGGAACATCGCTCATCACTTTTGCTTTCGAAATTCCGCTACAGATATCCTCCGCTATCAACAGCCGGAATGATATCTATCATATTGTACAGCTCGCCTCTCAAACCTTTAGACTTTTACCTCTTCTTTTCCTCATGATCTACCATCTCTCCAACAGTGGCAGATCCTACACTCCCAACTCAGAAGAAGAAGAGTCGCAGCCCTTTCTTCAATCAAACGGCCATGCAAATGGCAGAGCATGCCCAAGCTACGGTACGGAGACATCATCGGACACAGAGGTCGATGACGATGAGTACATCTCGGGCAGCGAAACAGAGGAAGACGTAATCGACATTAAACGCCAACGCGCAAAGAAACTTAAGGAGAAGGGTGGTTGGCTAGGCTACCTTTCCGACTTTTCTATCTTCCTCCCCTTCTTGATCCCCAAGAAAGACCGCAAAGTCCAACTCTGCATTTTGGTCTCCCTGTTCTGTATCCTGGCAACTCGAGTCTTTAACATCCTGGTTCCTCGTCAACTAGGCATCGTGGCCGACCAACTCCTCGCCAAGCAGAATCCGTTTCACGCTTTGTTCATCTGGCTTATCATGAGCCTTACTTCTCACGACGTTGTAGTCGGACTCATTGAGTCACTGGCCAAGATCCCGATTAAGCAATATTCATACCGTTCTCTCACGAACGCAGCCTTTAACCACGTTCTGTCACTGCCTATGGAGTTTCACTCCGAGCGTGACTCGGCGGAGGTCATGAAGGCTATCGAACAGGGTGAAGCATTAACTAACGTGCTTGACATGCTCATAATTGAGATTCTCCCCACTGTCATCGACTTGGCTATCGCTTTTGTCTTTCTGTACTGGAAGTTCAACAGCTACGTCGCTCTCGCTATGGCCATTGGCTCAGTCCTCTTCGTTACCTTTGAGGTCAAAGCCACAGGCTGGAATCTCGATAACCGACGAGAATCGACAAAGTCCAAGAGAGAAGAAGTTCGTGTTATGCATCAAGCTGTTCAGGGCTGGCAGACCGTCACTTACTTCAACATGTTCAACTATGAGAAGTATCGCTTCGGATCTGCGGTTAACAAGCAGCTATCTGCTGGTCTGAACTTCGAGAAGACGGATGCGTACATCCAGCTGTTACTCAACGCTCTTATTCCCTGCACTTTCTTCACACTCGCGACTCTTGTTATTTATGACGTTTGGCACGGCGCATCATCGCCTGGTGACTTTGTCTTCTTCATTCAGTACTGGGAGTACTTGGTCTGGCCATTGAAGTTCCTGTCTCATAGTTACAGACAGCTCATGTCAGACCTGGTCGATGCTGAACGTCTGCTTTATCTGCTGCAGACGAAGCCCACTATCACTGATAAGGAGGGTGCTAAGGATTTGGAGAAGGTCGAGGGACGTGTTGCATTCCATGATGTTTGCTTCTCTTATGATCCTCGAAAACCCACTGTCCAGGACCTTTCTCTATCAGTTGAACCTGGACAGACTATTGCTTTGGTTGGTGAGACAGGAGCTGGCAAGTCTTCTATCATGAAGCTGCTGCTTCGATTCTATGATATCGATGAGGGGTCCATTACAATTGACGGTTATGATATTCGGGACATCACCCTCAGCTCACTAAGGAATGCTCTTGGTGTCGTTCCTCAGGATCCTCTTCTCTTCAACGCATCGATACTCGAGAACATGCGCTACGCTCGACCTTCGGCAACAGACGAGGAAATCTACGCGGCATGTCGCTCCGCAGCCATCCACGACAAGATTCTCAGCTTCGTTGATGGATACAACACCGAGGTTGGAGAGCAGGGTGTCAAGCTGTCAGGAGGAGAGATTCAGAGACTAGCAATCGCTCGAGTGTTCCTCAAGAACCCCCCAATCTTGATTCTCGATGAGGCTACAAGTGCAGTTGACACGAATACAGAGTCAAGTATTCAGGGTGCCTTGGATGAGTTGAAGCGTGCAAGGTCGACATTCGTCATTGCTCATCGACTATCTACTATTGTTAGTGCGGACAAGATCTTGGTTATTCACAATGGATTGGTCGTCGAGTCTGGCACACACGCGGACTTGATCTCAATAGATGGAAGATACAAGGAGTTATGGAACAAACAGGTTGGTAACAAGTAGGAGCATACATAGATGAGCATGGCGTTTATTATATTTGGGGTATTATCGCAATCTTAGACTATCTATAAATTCATTTTGTCAATCTTTCATATCTCCTCCGAGCAACGGTGCTTGTTTAGTCGTACACCGAGGCCTTGGACCATTTCGATCTCGCCCTGATTCTCTTGCCATAGATATAAAACACAAATGGAACAGGAATCAACAAGGCTGCAAAGCCACCGGTGATGCTAGACCCAGGGCCAACACCAATATTATGATACAACGGTCCAACCACTAACGGAAAAGCCGCTGCGAAGCAGGACCGAAGAAACGTGTTGGCCGCGACAGCTGAAGCCGCGTACATAGTAAACGTATCGACGAGATAGTTCAGTGCAGCTTGGAAGATGGTAAAGAAGCCTGTTCCTAGCAACACGAGGCCAATGCATGGAACGACCCAGTGAATATCCTTCTGAGCAGTCCATCCGATGAGGAATTGGCCGCCGCTGAAAATCACGGAGCCGACCATCATAGGAGGAAGACGCTTTTCAGGGACGGCGCGGTTGCCAGCGGCGTGGTAGGCTTTGTTGTAGAGGAGCTGGTTGTACACATTCGCTCCGCATCCAAGAATGGCTCCGAGAAGAATGCAGATGAAAGGCAGTGAGGAGACTAGAATGCCCCAGCCTCTGATCTCTCTGAAGATAATGGGAATAGCGCCAAGTTGCATGTACAAAATACCGTAGCAGAAACTGGCGTACAACGCAACGAGGAAGCAAATAGGCGTCATGAGGAGCTGAACAGGTCTGACCAAGAACTTCCGTGCGAGTTCTGAGATGCTGACATCCCATTCTTCGAATTTCGCATGTAGCGCCCAATTGCCTGTTTCATGACGCAGTCTTCTCGCCTTGTAGATAAGAAGTTTCGGTGGGTAGCTCTCATCAACGAAAATAACAGCCAGCGTCAAAAAGATGATCTGAACAATACCAGTCAGGTACTCAGTCCACCTCCAGCCAAGACTCGGGTCCTGCACAACAGCAGCTGAAACGATAGGACCTAAGACAAAACCGTCAGCCAAGACAATTCTCACAAACTATAAAAGCCAGACTTACCGAGAACAGGACCTCCAACAACGGCCATGGCATACCCCGCCATCGCAATTCCCCTCTCTGACGGTAGAAACAAATCGCCTAGAACACCACCTGTGTTTGTGACCGGCGCCGAGGCGAAGAACGCACAGAAGAATCGCGTGATCATCAGCGTCTGAAAGTCTTTTGCGACTGCACTTCCGAAACTGAAGCATATCGCGATGAACATTGGAATAAGCACCGCTTGTCGACGTCCGTAGACTTCACTCAGCGGCGCCCAAAGCAAAGGCCCAATTCCAAAACCAACAAGAAACAGCGTTGTGCCAAGAGTTGCGGTCTGGGTGCCGACGTGGAAGTGCTTGGCTACTTGCGCCGTACCAGATGAATACGACGAAGACGCCCACGTCGCTGACATGGTAACTAACCCGTACAGCATCGTAGTCAAGATCTTCTTCTTGTTAGGCCAGTTCATCGGTCTGTACGGATCATCAGGCCCGTCAAAGTCAACGAGCTGATCTTCTGTGGTTTTGACATGCGCAAGAGGATGCGTAAACACCGGGATAGGCCGTGATCGAATCCTCGACATAACAGATTCTCTCCGCGACACAGTTCGCGTCATGCTGATTCCTGTGTTTGGTGCGCGGATGCTCTGCCATTCTGTGTCACCGAGGGAGTATGTTCGCGAAATGTCGTCATTTTGATGGTTGTGGTGTGAAGACGATATGGATGATTCTTCATCGCTATGTGAAGAAGTATGAGATTCTCGGCGATCGTTGTGATCTGAATGTGCAGTTTCGACTTTCTCCATGATTAATCCACAAGTCAATTGAACTAAACTTGATCAGAAAGAGAGAAGATCACAAGTGGAATGTCGTGTATATTTATCAGAAATGATCGGTGCCAGATTCGGCGACTAGTCTCTAACACCGAGCCATGCTAAAACTCAATTTCTCCTTGCAAAAATTCATCAGTGGGGACGGTCAACGAATGGCCGTTGCAGTTACGTCATTACTATCGAGCTATGTGGCGACTTTACTCGCTGTTCCTGATATGGGTAGCCGTTAGTGGATAAGTTGGCGTAGTGATGATTTCCGGGAATAATCTGTGAATAACCTCATCGGCACGGGAATGCCGATCGCGGCCCGAAGGTAAGCAAAAGTTTCTCAGGGTTGTTGGTGAAGACGCGAAGACGCGATGGTATCTCCGAGCCGAGATGATGATCTCGCGAGATAATTGTAATTGCTTCCTGTTTTGCGGAGAGTATTCGGGGACTTTTGAAGGGGAGGCACACAACCTAGGACTTCTATTCGAAATGTTGAACGGGTTGGATAGATTTGGTATATCTTATCCAGCCTTAAGACTAGCCCATCTTGGCATTCTCATTTAAATAAAGAAGAACTATTTATCCCTAAGGCTACGCTAGGATCTTCAATGCCGAGACTTGTCGGCTCCTCGTGCAGGCTTCCATTCAGATGGTGCTTTCTCTTGCTTGGTTTACCGCGATGTTCCTTCGCTAGGTCGAACTTGTGATTGCCGAGATATTCAGCTCCTTCTTTATCAACTGCGTGGGCAGATCTACCGATGTTGAATACTTGTAATATTCCAAGCTCTGGCTCATTGCTGGAATCACCATGTCAGCCTCCAATGCTGTGAGGATGCATCGCTTCATTGAAGGGAGAAGGCTGTTTAGTTGGGTTTCGAGTTCACTGTCGGACAAGAGATTGTTCTTGCTGGACGATTCGCTGTGGATCTTGTGAAGAAGATCCATGATACCTCCTGCTTGAATGATCGACCCGGCGCTCCAGACATGTAGGAGGTCTTGGTAGTCGATGTGCCACTCGCGTTGCTGATCCATTTCACGAATGATCTGTAGACCCTGCGTGAAGCACAGCAATAAACAGAAGCACGTCGCCTTTCGAAGATCTTCAATAAAGCCATCCCTCGAAGAGACTTTAATCGCTGAAGGCTGCCAACGTCCTGAAGCCTCAGCATCAGCAGCGCGCTGGCTCAGTTCAGCTGACGTACATCTGAACAAATGCGCACTGACGATGTTCGCAGCAGGGACGTGGAGTCTCACCGCCTCTTCGCAAGACCACGTCCCCGTGCCTTCAGTATTATCAACATCCTGCACAACCTTATCCTGAACCCTCCCCAGAACATATCGCCCTTTCTCATCTTTTGTCCTATTGATATCAACAGCGCTGTAGATCAGAAACGTGTTATAAAGTTCAGGTGTCTGGTTCCACTTCTCAAAAACACCAGCTGCTTCTTCATAGCTGAGCTGAAGACCTTTGGTGAGGATGTACCAAACTTCGGAAATAACTGACTTCATGCCTTGTTCGATTCCATTGTGGATCATCTTGACATAATGCCCTGAACCGCCTGGGCCGATGGGGCTGGTACATGGTTTCCCGTCGCGGCCTTTCGCTGCGACTCTTCTGAGAAGCGGCATGATGATTTCGAGGGCTTGGGGATCGCCGCCTGGTGACAGCGACGGGCCAGCTCGTGCGCTCTGATATCCGCCCGAGACACCGCATCCGACATAAAAAATGCCATATTTTGCAAGATCCGCTTGTCGTCGTTCCGTGTTGCCATAGAATTCGTTTGAGCAGTCGAGAATGATATCTCCCTTCGTCATGTACGGTCGCAGAGCCTTGACACATTCGTCGCCGGGATTTCCGTGGGGTATACTAAAGATGATGATTCGAGGATGGTTCTCGGAGTAGATTTCTTCACAGAGTTGTTGATAGCTGTGTTGGCGAAAGACTCGGGTTTCTTCGTTGACGTCCTTGACCATCTTTTCTGCTGCTTTCATGTTATATTCACCTGAGATTGGTCAGTGAATGTCAGCTACGGGGAGATATGTCGCGTACTGATATCAAAATAGTAGACTTTGCAGCCTTTCTCGGCAAAGAGGAGGGACATCATGGAGCCCATACTGCCCATTCCTACCATACCTATCTGCTCATTACAGCGATCAGTAAAAAGTTAATAGTGCACTGCATCTTTAACCCACCTTTGCTATCTGTCTTTCTGACATTATGAACTGTTGTGGCAAATTATACGCTCGTCGTAATAGATACAAAGCTGGTTGAAGGCCAAGGAATGGTTTACCATCACGATGTAAGTAAGAGAGCTTCTGAGATAAGGCTCCAAATATCAGGATATAATTTCTTTAGCTTATTTAATAGTAGTATGTCGTCACCGGGATTTATCTCTGTGAAGACACTTGGCGATAAATAAAGGTGGTGTCAACTTGACGTCAGAGTGAAGACTGAATGTCATCGGATCGCTGTGCCAATACCCCTGACACATTTTATGGGGTTTCCGCCACGGGACTCAGGGAGCAAGAAAATGTTAAACCTTGAATTAGGGTGTCAAAATAAATTTCGCAAAAGGTATCTTAAACGTATGCTAAGTCACCTAAGTCTTTTTGTCACTTAGGATCAGGATCCTGAATTTTGCTTCGTCCGTTAGACTAATGAAGGTCTATTATAATTGCTATTTCACCTATCGCGAGGCCCGCCTTTATGGAGAACAGACTCGCTTACCAGACACCGTGCAAGCTTTTAGGTAGACGCTTATATCGTGGGAAAATGAAACTCATTTTGAGTGTCCATTTTAACAGACCGAAGTTAAATCTTATGATCAGGAAGTAATTATGTCTTTGTAATATGTCTTTCTTCCTGATATCCTCGAAATTAAGCACCTGATTGCGCCGTAAGGTTAAACTTTGGGCTGGAGACAAATGTGACCACGACACAATAAACCTACACAAAGTAGTGAGTGACTAGGTTCTGTCTGCTGGAATAAGCTCTCAGCCACAAGTCTCAACTGCAAATAACACATCTAGCTTACAACAAAGTAGTGAGTAACTCTTTTCAAAACCCTGTCACCCTGACAGACTCCTCAACTATAAATATCCGCCCTCGCTCCATCTGTTTCGTTTAGCGTTTCCTCCTTTTACATCCTCAACGCTACCCCAGCATGGTTCAACTTGCACTATGGATCCATTCTCAAACCTCCCGTCGCTTGTTCAGACTGAGATATTTGTCTATCTCCAATCTCATACAAGTATCAGGCAGATAATTCAAGCATCACCCTCTATGCTATGGCATTTCATCTTCTACAAGGATAGTATCATTCGTCGCATCCTCAACGACATTGTTCCCATCAGCACTTCCGCCAATATCGTGCGAGATGCTCTAAGAATTATCGACATTTCAGACAAAGCTTCGGCCAAAAGATACGAAGAATCAGATATATGGAAAACCATGGAGCTGCCAGAGAACTTTACCACCGAGCAGGTTCAAACACTCTGGCGCTTTTTTATACGAATGTTTGCCTTCATTGAGGATTACGCCTCCAAAGCAACAAGTGTCTATCCCCCAAGAGCATACCTTGGTGTTCCAGACATAATAGGCGGCAGTGGAAGCTACTTCAAAGAGCGGAGACTAGAAACCAACGTCATCGACTTCACGAGCCTGACATGTGCTGAGCAACATAGGTTCTTATCTGCCTTTGTAAGATATGAGCTGCTTTGCAAGATCTTTTATCCTCGGATTATGAGTTACGAAGAGCAACTGGTTGTTACAAGAAAGCTAGGTGCAATGTGTCAAAAGTCTAAGTGGAAGATACTACTGTCTGTTCATGAATACTATAAAGCTGTCTACGGAGCTTTGTTCGCGCATGGTGCGAATTCCTGGTTGCCAGATATACCTCAACAATACAAGACGGATCAGTCGCCTCCGGCTATGACCTCTGAGTACGGATTGCTTTTCCCTGACGATACCTGCTTCGATGCTAGAGCATATGAGACAGACATGGATAAAGCGGGCCGAGGTCTGGCCAAGGTGCTGCCCTGTTTTGGTCTGGACTGCTTGACACAAATACTGGCATGTCTAAGAAAGGAGACATGGCACGACTCCATGATTAGAAAATGGCTACGAACGTTACCTATCTCGCACTTCCATGCGTGGACCAGCCTACTCCCCGGTGGCTTCCCCGATAGCCTCCCCGATATGGACTTTCGCAGGTACGATCGGCCGCGGACAGACCGGCAAGGCCAAGGCGGCCCGGTCATAACATTCAGGCCTGGGGATTGGCGACACGATGTGCTGAAATGCATCCAACTTGTCACTTACCGGCAACGCGCTTGGGGGTTGTTTGATGATGATAGGCTGTATCCGAGGCATACCAACCACTTCCCAACCTTTAGTGAGCTTCATCGAATGGAATCAGAATATGTTAGGGCCAAATTCTTTTACAAGCAACCGCGCCCTTTAAGGAGGTCCCAGCAATGGCAAGATATTTGGACCTTGGGTCTCCAGCCTATAAGACGCTATGGCAACGCAACTGGTCCTGAGGTTGACACTATTGCCGGGCATCTGGGGCCTTGCGAAAGGTTTTTTAGTGCTCCTAGTGAGAAGCTACCTAACGATCTAGTGGAAGGCGAATCGGAAATTTTATATTAAGAAGGGGTGAAAAGATACTAGAATATAGAGAGAAAAGGCAATCTCTTTAGAATTTACTTTAATTTATAAAAGCCCTGGATGATATTTGTAAGAGCATATAGCCCCCTAACGTTAGAGTGACATGTTCCATAGCTCGGATGGCTATGGACAGCATAATAAAATAACGACAAGGCAGTAGGTAATCCAAAGAACTTTATATACCCACTACGACTACGGCTTAGCTGCGGTCTATAAGGTTAACCTTTAGGCTAAAAACACAGCTGATGAATGAGAACATGATTCCCCTCCCAATATAAGCTTTCACCCATAAGCTTTCATGATGACCACAATAAATCCTAATTTTATATACATATTATTTAAGAACTAAATACTTGATTGAACTAAACGCTATGCTAGTACAATTGTGCCTCTACTATATGGGTATAACGCTCTCGCTAAGCGTAGGTTAGTTAGCTTCACAATGTGACCTAAGAACTCTTCGCTGCCTTGATGATAACATCGCTAGCCTTCTCAGCAACGATGTACAAAGGAAGTGCAATATAGAAACCAGGAATCTTGGGGAAAACACTAGCATCAACAACGCGCAGACCCTCGGTACCCCGAACCTTGAACTCTGAGTCCAACACAGCCATGGGATCGTCATCAGCACCGATAGCAGCAGTGCATGAAGCATGGTGACCCCATGCCTCATCCTTGAGGAACTGCTTCGCCTTCTTCTCATTGTTCGTCTGGCTTCCGGGCCAAACTTCAGGGAACTCGCCGTCAAGAGGGATCAAGTCGTCGAATGCCTTGCGGGCGAACTCGAAGCCTTCGTAGGTGGCTTGGAGATCCTTGTCGCCTTCTCCGTTGGCGTTGACGCCGGTATCGAAGTAGTTGAAGTTGATGATGGGCATGTCGCGAGGGTCGGTTGACTTGAGAGTGACAGTGCCAGCGTTGTTGCGGCTGTGAGCCTTGAGAATGATCCAAGCCCAGTGCTCGGCGTCGGCGAGTGAGTCGGCGGCATAGCCAGGGAAGTAGCCCTTGAACTTGGCTGGGGCACCAGAGATGAGAAGATCGGGCTCATCTTCGGCGACAGAGGACTTGAGGATGATAGCGATTGCAATGCCGTTGGTGCCATAGACACCCTTCGTGATAGGACCAAGACCCTTCTTGTACTGCTCCAAGCAAGGGTCCGGTAGAGTCTCAAGGAAAGTACACTTCGACGTGATGACAAAGTCACTATCAGTCTTACCAATGACAGTGTTCTCATACCGATCCTGCATGTTGGTTCCAACACCAGGAAGATCTACCAGGACAGGAATCTTGAAAGAGTCAAGCTCCTTCTTGGGGCCGATGCCACTGAGCTTCAGGAGTTGTGGAGTGTTGAAGGAGCCAGCAGAGATGATGACTTCGCGCTTGGCCTTGACGCTGCCGGTACCAGTGGGCTTGGCCGAGACGGAGCGAGGGTCGGCGCGGTAGAGGCTTGCGCCTTGCATGTAGTTGACACCAACGGCACGAGGCTTGGAGCCGCTCTTGTCGAAGTTGATCTTGGTGACCTACACATATGTGAGTAGTGAGGCGATGTAGTAATCGGGCGACTTACAAGAGTGTTGAGCTTGATGTCAAGATGATACTTGCGAGATCCATCCTTGTTGACGGCCTTGGCAGTGTTGAGGATAAAGTCTCGGGGACCACCACGAACATTGTCAGTCATCGACAGTGGAACCTGGTAGAGACCGGTCTTGCTAGTTTGGCCGGGTGCATTGAGATCACGAAGCAAGACCTGGCCAAGACCTGCGACAGTGTTCAAGACGAAGCCGAGAAGACCCTTACCCATTGCCGAAGCAGCGGATATGATCAGAGACAGAAGCTTCTGATCCTCAACTACTAAGGACAGTGAGGTCAAAGAGGTGCCCAACCAGCCACTGAAGCCGTGGCCGATGATACTGCTGGGGAGATACATGTTCTTCTCTATCTTCTCGAAGTAAGAGCGCATGTTATCAGGGTTCCAAGAGTCATCACCTGTAAGACTGGCGATGTAAGACCAGTCACTGTCATGAGCAGCGATAGTGATGAGGGCATTGTGACGAGTACATCCACCGAGAGTACCAGCACGAGGATAAAGAACACCCAAAGGCTTTGCATCCTTAGGTGGGGTAAGTCCAGTATAGTAGCTACCATCGGTCTTTTGGTAGACCATCTTGGAGTCCTTCTTCTGTTGCGTGGCGTCAGGGTAGTGATTGACGAAGTAGTTCCATCGTGTGTCCTCGAACTCAGTCGACATGAGATGCAAGGCGGGAACCTTCTCAACCCAATCATCGCCAGAGTCGCCGCCAGCGTCGATGAGAAGGACTTTGAAGCCAGCGACAGCGAGGTTGGCAGCGACAGGGCCACCACCTGCTCCAGAGCCGACGACTACATAGTCGTATTCAACGGCGGTATCGCGTTTGCCGATGAAAGGATTATGCGACTTGGGCGAAGAACTGCCAATGCCATTGTGAGTATGATGCAGTAATCGAGAGACTGGGGGACCTACAAAGCAGAGGCTGAATCAGCCAGAACAGAAATGCAAGTAATAACGAATGACAAACGCATATTGGCTACTCAGCGCCAAGCACTTAGAAAACCCAAAAGTGTGAATAGAATGAATGGACGGCTTTCTAGAGCATGAAGCCAGAATTCCAAATGCCGTGCCGTGCCAGGCAGATAATAAAGAGGAGAAATTAAGACCCTGCCTCCCAAAATACTACCAAACCCCGCCTGTAAAAACGATCGCCAGGAGGTATTCCAGGAACAGAAGCACGCATTCGGCCTCTCACACCCGGATGGAAACGTCGGTATGAAAGCGGAACGTGGGAGTCTGATCGATTCCGCTTATCAAGGACGGGCGAAGGATTCAGTGCGCATCGATAGAGCAGATTGACGGAATCCTTCTGATGCCCGAGAAAAAAGAAACGAAAGACACACGAAGTAACTTGAGGCGGAGACCTTTGGGTTCGTGGCCCCTGGACTAATGAGTTAACAAGGCGCAAGGTCGTACTCGCGCGTTACAGTCGTAATCGCGGTGGAGTTGGGCAGAAGGGGGAAAAGGGAACTTGAAATGCCGTCGTATCTGGTTAGTGACAGGGCAACGTGGTCAGTGTAGCATTGGCCAGGATGCGGAGATTCCACCTGTCATCTTGACAACTTGACAAGTGAAACAATGACTTGAAATGGGTGATGCAGTGAAATGAGAGGATGCCAAAAATAACAGACTTCAGGTACGGATAACACAATTCCATAGACTTTGGGGATCTGCCCGAGCCGCGAATGGCGATATTCGCAGTCTAGAACATTTAATATCGCCATCTCATTACAGCAGGGCTGACCGTTGAGCTAGACTACGGGGATCAGGCATGCTTGTCCCGTCTGTGCGACGGTGTCAGTTGGTGAAACATTTCCCCGGACGATCGTAGCTACAAACGGGCAAGCCTCAACAATAACCTCAGCACCAAGAACCCTTTTGGTTTAGATTTAGTCACTAGTGCATAACATAATCAACGACAAAGAAATCTCAATTCTTGTACGGAGTAAACAGCAATGAGTGAGTCAGGGAGACACTAACTAAACTTTTCCAGGTCCCAACAAATGACACGATGATCGACATCATCATACAGGCTCAGACGGAACAGCCGGCCTCCTCTCCGTCCACGCAGTCTCCTCGTGCCCCTGCTCCCTCCCCATCTGCGTAAGTTCAATTACTGAAGAATCATCGTGGTGGCGCGAGTACCTGGTCGAGATCTCCGTCTCGATGGTGATCTGCGGTGTGTTGCCGCCCTTCCTGTCACCGGTTGGCTGCTTCGACTCCGAGATGTTGGCGTAGCTGTTCTTGCTGCGGTTCGTCGAGGCGAAGACCTTGGGGAAGACGATGCCGAAGAGCGCGCGGATGGCGGGCATGCAGGCGCAGATTATGCCCACAGGCACTTCTATTGTGCTCCAGTATCCAATCTCGACGTAGTCCTCTGCATGATGTTAGACCGGAAAGTGGGAGGGGGGTTGGGGAGATTTACGGGTTACGTTGCTGGTTGTTGCGTAGCTTGCTAGAGATTGAAGGCGGACTGCACTGACAATCGTGACGCTGATCTTGTTAGCGAGAGAAATGGTGTTGAGGAGGAAATCTTACAAGATACCGACGCTGAACATGAGCATGAGCTGTATCTTCTTCTTCAGCGACATCGACAGCCCATAAAGCTCCTTCAGCGGTATGACCATCGTTCCAACATCGAGAATAATGTTCAAGATCGCCGCAAACCAACCCTGTAGATTGATGTTGTTGCACTTGGCCTTGAACTCCTTATCCCATGCTCTCCAAGCGCCCTCAATTGGTCTGCACTGGAAGATGGAAATGAGCTCAAACGTGATAAAATATGCAACGTTCAGACCGATGAAAATCCAGCATGCCATTCGAATTCTTTTGCCGGGAAAGACTTTGAGATAGAAGAGAAGAATGGAGATCTTTGTGACGGGCAACGCTCCGAGATACAGAAGTTCGTCCCAATAGAATAGCTGGTATGTGTCAGTAACGTGAATGTGTGGGAGGGAGATGGACTCACGTAAAGAAAATCGGTGATATCATCGGGATGAACGTTCCATATATCTTTACCAAGTCCCACGCGCGATACTGTCATTTGTTAATGACGAACTGAGAGAATTGACAAGTTTGGACTTACTCTGCACGGACAAAGCATTGAGCGGTATCATGAGAGCCTATACAATCGTGAGCGCTGGAGTAGAAGAGGCAAGCGGTGATACATACCACGGCAAAAAGCATGACCCAATCGTCGGATCCCCATGTTTGCTTCACAACAAACACTCTGGCCATGACACGCAGACCAAAGCCTACGAGGCCGAGAATTAGGAAGACGATACCGATAACCCACACCAGCGTCGTGCGATCGCGAGATGGCGCTTTACAAGTATGCTTGGAGTAACTCTGAACCACTAACCACTCAATCAGTAGCCGCCTGGGACAGCTGAGGCAC